AAGGAAGGAAGGAAGGAAGGAAGGAAGGAAGGAAGGAAGGAAGGAAGAAAAGAAAGAGCAAGCAAAGCTGGAGCTTGCTACTGGACCTGCAGTTCTTATGTACACATCCAACTATATGTGCCATAGGACAAAATTCCACACAGAAACCTAACCTCCTCAGATCAAAACCAACCTATGATTCTAGGTTTTATTTTACATACCAGAGGTCTCCTGATGAACCCAGCCAGGTTCCCAAAGGATAAAACCAGGGCAGTTTCTGTTGAGACTTTTATACCAGTTTGTAACTCCCACTCCTCTCCCCCTCTGAAAAAGTTGAAATAGAAGCAGAGAACACAAAAAATGAACTCAGGAGGGACATACCAGTGGTGGCCTCCACAGCACAACAAGATACAAAGGCCACAAAAGCTCAGTGTGAGGCATGTTTGATGTGCACTGGCTAGCAGTGTCTGAACCCAGTGAGGTAGAAAACACTCCTGCAACATGTTACAAGAAAATAATTTATTATTCACAAATAAGGCCTGAGGGAGTGCAGAAGCCTAGATCTCACTGTGAATCAATCTGTTGCAGAATATTTGATCACACTGTGAACCCTGAGATTGTGTTATTTACGGTGGGGGGGGGGCGGTTTCTAGTTGTGGTGTGGCTCAGCCCTAGCACACACTTTTAATCCAAGTGTTTTCTGCTTGAATATTGTAAACAGGAGTAAAGTTAACCCAAGGTCAAGAGGCAGAGCAAGCAACCAGTTGACAAGAAGTGAACACAGGAAAAAAAACATGAAGAATAAGAGGAAGTCAAGAGGATGCACATAAAGTAGAATGGAGGGACATTCAATTGGAAGGTTTGAGACAGCATGGAGGAGAGCTTCCTTTTTCTTTTGTGACCTCGGCTGAGGAGGAAGGTCAGCTGGGTGTTTTCTCTGTCTCTCTGACTAGCAGACTTTCACCCCAGCATCTGGCTCCTGAGTCTTTATTGGTAAAATCATCAAATGATTGTGCTTTTTTGTTGTTAAACACACGAGTCAGCCAAGGCCCAGATAGCAAGCTAGCTAGGGCAAGAAGTACCAGTGCATGCATCAACTACATCGCAGATGTGTGGTCCCAAAAGGCAGTCTTCATGAGCTCATGTACCTCGGGGGTCACAAGTCACTGACTTAGTGTTAAAGGACATCATGTTCCTAAGGAAGCCTTAGATGAAAATCAAATGTGTGCCAGAGAACAACACTGGATGCCATTTCTCAAGTGTCATCTGTTATTATAAACAATGATGAAAATTCCAACTATTCTATTTTACCAATAAAGACCCAGAAGTCAGATGCTGGGGTGAAAACCTGCTATCTCAGAGAGGCAGAGAAAGTAATCAGCTAACCTTTCTTCTCAGCTCAGGTCTGGATGGAAAAAAAAAAAAAAAAAAAAGGCTGACTAGTACAACTGACAGCCCAGGAGGAAAAAGCCAAAACACCCAAGGTCTGTTGTGTGTGTATGCAAATGCACATGCATGTGGAAGCCAACCACAACATCAAGTGTTTTCCTGAACAACTATCCACTTTTTAAAGATGTACAGTTATATATGTGTGGGGGTGAGGTACAGGGAAGTTGTCCTAGGATCTAACCAGTCTCCCACACATATATACACAACATAAATAAAATGTAATAAAAAATTTAAGTACGTGTGATGTACACACAATAGAAAACATATTAAGTAAATATGTTGCTTTGCATAAATGTAGTACACAGGACAGAATATGTTTGTGTCCATTTCAGAAGCAGTTGGACATGTCTTAATCCCAAACTAAATGTCAGCCTGGGAAACTAAGCAAGACCCTATGTTGAAACTAAAACGAAAAGGGCTGGGAATATAATTCAGTGATAGTGTTTTACCTAGAGTGAGGCCCTGAGTCCATGTTCAGAACTGAAAGGGGAATAAAGAAATAAAGAAATTTCTTTCCTAAACAGGACCATTGTGTTCCATCCTGCTCAACTCTCTGATCCAAGAATCTTGGCCAGATACCAGAAAAACTGCAGCCCAGCAGAACTCACGTCGGTAATACTAGCAATTTAACCGAGCCAGGATTGCCAGAGTTCGACGCCAAACAGGCTCAGAGTGAGATCCTGTATTTAAAAAAAAATCCGGCCGTGCTGTCTCCTAGCTGGGGTTTCGCTCGGCCACTGCAGCTCTCAGGCACTGACAGCTCGCCACCGCAAATATTTATGGCTCACAAGCTTTGGAAACCTTCTGAGTCAGAAGGCGAGAGCCTAGGCTTCCTAGTGATCTAAAAGCCGGGATGTCAGAAGTGAGCAAAAGACCGCTAGCCTCACTAAGCAGGGATTCCCTCCCAACAAAGTCCGGCTTCGCCTCTATACCTTACGGTCTCTCCAGCTGCAGCGGAAGTTGGCGCGCCGCCACTAACCGCACTTTCGCCAAGCCTAGTGGCATCCAAAACAAATAAAAAACATAATTTTTGCATGAACACAAAGTCCCTTCGTAAGATATAAATGGACAACAAAACCTAAGGTCTACATATTTCTTTAGTGGAGCAAACAGCTCGTGGCGTGACGAATCTACCACTAGACTTCCGGAAGTGCTGTCCTCCTAGCGGAAGTTGCGTTTCCTCCATTTTGTGGCTCGCTATGGCGGCTGTGTTGAAGTTGCGACGGGAATGCTGCGCCTTTGACTGAGGGGGTAGGCTAGGCGAGGCATCAGGGACGTTGTGCGGTTCAGCAGCAGACCGGCCCGGACGTCCGGGACGCTGTCATGTACGGTGCCGGCGGGGGCCGCGCCAAGCCAGAGAGGAAAGGCGGAGCGAAGGAGGAGGCCGGGCCCGGCGGCACCGGCACTGGGGGCAACCGGGTGGAGCTTCTGGTTTTCGGCTATGCCTGCAAGTTGTTCCGCGACGACGAGCGGGCTTTGGCCCAAGAACAGGGACAGCACCTCATCCCCTGGATGGGGGACCACAAGATCCTCATCGACAGGTCGGTTCCTCCCCCCACCCGTCGACCCTCCCCTCCCTCGCCCGCTTGATTTCGCCTGATGTTGACTTGATGGCCAGGACCGGAAAGGGGGTTTTGCGGAGCCCGGGGACCCGGGGGCCTCCCTGCCCTAAGTTCCCCGGCGTCCGGGGGGAGGGGACGGTGAAACCGGCCCTAAGGCTCCGGCCAGAGCTTGCGCCGCGCCGTCCGCCGAAGGGATCGACTCTGCTCCCGCAACCCCTCGAGCCCGGGCTGCCGCTGGCGACTCAGCGCGGTGGAAGCTGCCCGGGCCTCCCGCCCGCGCCATGGGGCGGGTGCCGCTGTCCCTCCGCTCGTTGTGCGGGAGGGAGCCCGGGAGTGCGCTTTTGTTCCTCCGAAGCGCCGCACGCCAAGGCCGTGGGTAGAAGCTTCTTTTGGACCCCGTGAGTTAGCCTGAACTGTCTCTGGCCGGCTTGACTTTTGGCGTCCGGCGAGACCCTCCCCGCGGTTATGCGACCATTTGACCAACCGCGGTGGTGGGTGAAGTTGCCGTCTGTTGGAGGCCGGTCGACCCCGTGCGGACCTTGCTCTTAGGGGTAGCGTTTCTTAGAGCTGGTTTCACTGTTTCCTAAAGCTGAAGGGTGGAGCTGGGTTACTTTTGTGTTGTTTCTTTTCAAATCACACCCACTTAAGGGTGCCCTGAATTGAGGGTAAAGGGGTGGGACTGGATTCCTAAAGGTGTTTGATTTGAAAAGGATGGCATTACATGATGTGGGTGGTTTGCTCCCCACCTCTCTTCTCATTTTTTTCAGTCCCTCTTTCCTTCTCCACCGTCCTGGGTTTGGGTATTTGTCCTTCCATTGGGCAGTATTGCTTCTGAGGCCAGGACTGAAAGGCTAACTGTGGGCAACCATTAAGCTGTGGAGTGGTTTTCTCCAAGTGAAGGAAACCCATCGTTTGAGACAAGTAAAACTGGATTCTGCAAAGACTTGGGACATGCATGACTGTAGGGATGACCACTGAACTGACCAGAATGGACACAGTAATGACTAGCAGGCCTTACAGTCTCTTACATCTCCATTTGTGGAGAGATCTAGGAAAAAGGACTCATGAAGGGAGTGTTGCAGGTCAGATCCGCTCTGGATCTGATGGTCCACTCTGCTGGAATGTGCTATGCCTTTGAACCTCGGTTGATAGCAAGTGATATTGCCTGACCTGTCAGGCTTGCTTCGTAGGCACTCACTGTGATGTGTTGTACTGTTACAGTTGGGCAAATGCTGAAGCCTCTACACCATATGCCGTTTCCATATCATCCTGTGCATGATTTGAGCTAGATCTCCCAAAACCGGTGGGGAGCAAACACCACACATGTATATGTGTAATATTTGAAAATAATACATTTGTAAGTTAAGGAGGTTTACATCAAAGTTAAACACATTTTGATAATTAATAAAATGAAACAGTTGGGATTCCCAGGAATTTTTGGCCTTTTTCCTGTGGTGTGCTTTTTCTGTCCTTAATCTGGTCTCCATTAAAGAAGTCAACATTAATAAATTATTCAAACTTTTGTTTCTCAGTCCACGTTCACTTTTGCAACCTAAATTTGAGTATTTAAACTTCACTAACTCGTTTACGTTTACTGTCTGGCGGTTGTACGTTGACAGCATCTCCATCGACTCTTGTGTTCAAACATAGCAGAAAGTGCTCTTCTTAGTCATATTTGGAAAGTGCCCATTGGTCTTCAATGATGTGTATTCATCCTGGGACTTAAAGTTAAAGGGACAAACTGAAGCTGTGCCTTCCATTGGTTTTGCTGTGTTTGCAGTGAACCTCCTTAAACTGCATGTATATGTCACTGTTCCTTTGTATGTGTGTCTCTCTACCACATAACCCAGCACTTCTTTCCTCAGCCAAGTGGCTAGGGGCGAGCCTAGCCAAGATTTTACCTCCAATGGACGCAAGTTTCTTTGGTGAAGATCTCTCCTGAGAGTTCGGGACTAGCAGGAAGAAGCGAGGAAATTTCGCCCGTTTGGTTCTGTCGGATAGGTATTTATGGACTCGGTCTGTGTGAATGTAAGCTGTGATATTTAACTACTGAGAACAGATATTTTTTTACAAGTGACATTGAATGGTTGACCAAAGCATACATGGTAAGAACTGCTAGCAAGGGGGATACGTTTTCTGCCCTAAAGGATTGTCTGCCTTTAGCTCTAAGTTCTGTTGTGCTGTAGAGAGGTGCTTAGACTTTGTTATGATTACTTCAGATTAGAAGTAGGTGAGAGATGACTAGTCATGTTAAATATAAATCTGAAGCTTTGTACTTGTTGTAATATTTTCATTTCATTTTTTAATTGGTAAGTATGTGCATAGAGTGTCACACACAATCAGCATGGGTGTAGACTTCTGTCCACTGACCAGTGCGCTCACATTACAGATATGACGGGCGTGGTCACCTGCATGACCTCTCTGCGTACGATGCTGAGTACGCCACGTGGAACCGAGACTACCAGCTGTCTGAAGAGGAGGCGCGGGTAGAGGCGCTGTGTGATGAAGAGAGGTATTTAGCCTTGCATACGGACTTGCTTGAGGAGGAGGCAAGGCAAGGTACTGCTCAAGAAAGACTTACTTTAGCCACACCTTTTTAAAATTTTAAGTATTTAAAAGTTACTCCCATTCATTTTTTTATACTCACTCTTTCTGATATTATCTTGACAGTACCCAGTGGATTGGAAAAACAGGAGTCTTTGCGTTCTGAGAGGACCTCAGGATAGTTTATATATAGAGCCACAGAGAATTTTCCCAGCTTTTGAGGGCAGACTGGGATTTGAAAAACAAAAACAAAACAAAACAAAAAAAAAAAAAAACAAACAAACCCAAAAACAAAACTCTTTAACTGTTCTTCTTTAACAGTATCGTATGAATTAAATGTTCTTGTCTTTGCTTTAATGATCTTTAATACAGTTCTTAATCCCAAAATTTCCTCAGCAGGAAGAAATTTTCCATAAAAGACGTGTATTCTTCTGTCTGTGGGTAAACACATACTGGCAAAAGTATATACTGATAGATACCAAGTGTGCATTTCCAGAAACATTTTCTCCTCAAAAAGAGTGTATTGTATGCTTTACTGATAGTTGCACTTTAGAAGTTTGTGAGTTTTTCTCAGTAAACTTCCATTTTTGTTAATAAAATTCTCATTTTTATTCAAGAGGAAGAATACAAAAGATTGAGTGAAGCACTGGCAGAGGATGGGAACTACAGTGCTGTAGGGTTCACTTACGGCAGTGACTATTATGACCCATCAGAGCCCACAGAAGAGGAGGAGCCTTCAAAGCAGAGAGGTGAGGGGAGAGAAGGCCTGACCCTTTTGGGCACTGACTGCAGTACCACTGTGACACTATGAGGTTCCTTCTTTTGCTGGAGCAAAGCTAGAAACTAGAAGATGAGTTGAGAGTGTCAGTTTAAGGCAGTTCTGATTAGCTGCCTGGATCCAGTGACTTCTCCCCTATTCCTTTAGGGTAGGTCTCACTGAGTTCCTTATCCTGGGATCATGCTTCTGCATCCTTCCTATCTTCGTCATTGTGTGTGAAGAGGCACCGTGACCAAGGCAACTCTTATGAAAGAAAGCATTTAACTGGGGCTTGCTTGTAGTTTTTGAGGCTTAGTTCGTTATCATTACAATGGGGAGCATGTCAGTATGCAGACAGATACTGAGGCAATACTTGAACTACATCCTGATCCATAGGCAGACAGAGACAGACAGTCAGACCCTGGGATAGGCATGGGCATTAGAAATCTCATACCGCATCACTAGTGACACACTTCCTCCAACAAGACCATATCTTCTAATCTTTTTAATCCTTTCAAATAGTGCCACTCCCTGGTGAGTAAGCATTCAAACACATGAGCCATTTTTATTCTAATCACCACACTTCCATAATGTCAGTATCCATTCTGTTTTGCCCAGGAATTGTTAGTAACACTATGTTATGAACATCTTTCTGCATCTGTCCCTAGAAGAAGTGTCCAATGAAAGACACCTGAGGGGTTTGTTAAAACTAAACAAAAAGACAAGCCTGTTAGTACAACATTAAAGTTTGAAGTCAGTGCCCTCCTTAGGCTAATGTGGCTACTCCAAACATAAAAAATAGCACTGTCAAAAACTAAGCATTTACAGTGGAAGCAGAGTCCTTGGTCACTTGTGTGAGCTCAATGAGCCTTGAGAGCATCATTGTCATAGTAGGACATTAGCTGTCTTCAGTAACAGTGATGGGAACTTCAGGCATTAGGGACATGTCACTGACAATCAGTGTTGCCAGATGTTCTGTCTGAAGAAGAGGAAGACCTTTAACTTTGGAAAGCCATTCATATATTTAAAATAGGAACCTGGATTACATCCTACAGGGACTTAATGTCACAGCTAAATCCCTAGAACCTGTGTGGTAGCTCTCACAAGTTGTCCTCTGACCGCCACACATGTGTAGTCACACACAAAATAATGTAATTTTAGAAATAAATAAATGGGTAAAGATTCAGTTGGCTATTGAGCTGTGTTTAGTACCTTAGAATTCAGAAAAGGTATAGCATGTGGGACCTTGTCCAGTATATAGCAGACAAAAGTTAATGGACGAAATAGACATTTTAAAAATGCATGTGACTACTTTTATAAAGAGGATAGCTTGCTTGGGTGGAGTGGCTTTATTGTTTTACAATTTGGTGATCAGACACTGATTACCTTGTGTTGCTATCTGCGATCTACAGAAACAGTCGAAGGGTGGATTTGATGCCAGTTAATACATCTGCTTTAAACAAGGGTCTGGTAAAGACAGAATTATCTCAGTAGTAGAGCAGGTCTAGGCTCTGTCTTATCCAGCATGGTAAGAAAATTACCCACTTAGCATAAAAGAGACAAAGATACTAGTCTCTATTACTGTCAGAGGATGTTAAGAACACTCATCGGGGTTCTAAGGAAGTGGCTTGGTTGGTGAAAGCATTAGTTGCACATCCATGTGGACCCATCTAAAGGCTGGAAAGAATAGCAGGAGCAGCTGTAATCCCATCACAGCTATGGAAGATGGGAGGTAGAGCTAGAATCTCTGTTCAGCTAGCCCAAATGCTGCCCCTCTGTCAAAGCTGAAGGACAACCCAAGGTTGTCCTCTGATGTCCACATATGCACTGTGGCAAACCCATGCCCAATTAAAGAACATTTGTTGAGTATCTCCTAAGCCGTAAGTATTCTGCTTTGGGGAAGTGGTTGTGTGTTAGCTCCCTTACACCAAGGAAGTGAGCTGGGCTGCACTGAAATAAACACAGACAGATATAGGAAGCATATGCCCAGGATCCCAAGGTCAAGAAATACCCAAGCTGGAGTTCACATTTCCACCTGCCCCAGAAACATGCACCTGTTGCTGCACCACCCACCACCTCTTTGGAATCTGAACGGGAGAGTCAAATGTAATGGGATAGAGCAGGAAGCTGGAAGGGGTTTTTGGACGTAGTGGTGCAATGGTAAAGAGTAAGAAGACCAGACTGTATCATTGCCTGCTGTTAGTGAGTCATCATGTTGAAGTTCTTTAATTTTTTTTAACAGAGAAAAGTGAGGCTGAAAACTTGGAAGAAAATGAAGAGCCTTTCATTGCCCCTCTAGGATTAAGTGTCCCGTCTGACGTGGAGCTGGTATGTGTGCTTCCCAAACATTCCTACTATTTGTTGCTCTTCTTTGTGTTGCATGAGAGGGCAGGTGGTAAAACGCAGCTATTGTTAGGTACTTTGTGCTGCATGATTGTTTGTGAGTTGTAGAGAAAGAGCACAGCTCACTTCCTCTGAAGAAAAATGGTATCAGGTGTGGTGCACAGCTGTCATCTTGGGACTTGGGAGTCTAAGGCAGGAGGATCTCAACTTCCATGCCAGCCTGAGTGCTTCAGACAGAGACCCTGTCTCAGAAAACAAGAGGAGGAGGTCTGGAGAGATACTCTGTTTGAATTGCTTTCTGCCCTTGCAGAGGACCCTAGTTCTGTTCCCAGCATCTTCATCAGGTGGCTCACAACCACCTACTTCTTCAGTTCCAGGGATCCTACGCCCTCTGCCTTCCCCAGGCTCTTACACACACAGTACACATAGCCTCATGAAGGTATACACATTCATATACATACGTACATACATACATGCATACATACATACATACTGTATTTTTTAAGAACATACATTTTTAGAACAAAAGGAAGGGGCAATGAAAGGAGAGAGTGGAAGTACAGCATCATGACCAGCTGTGTGCACCAGTGAGTTGCATTGGGTCTCTGGAGTTCTGTAGGGTCTCTGAGTTTACTAGCCATTCAAGACCAGGCTGAGATGTTGCAGTCCACATGCAGATGTGAAAACAGTTGTGCTCAAGGGCAGTCTTGCTTTCAGCAAAGATTGTGCTTCTAGCTTTTTCTGGTGTGAGTTGTGGAGGCACTTGCTGTTTGCCTTACATTCATTGGACACTTGGATACATGGGACATGTCTAGGTCACCTTTCCATGTGTGAGGAAAGCAGAGGGAGAGCTCTGAATGCTCCTACTTGTCTCAGTTGAGGCTCCAGGTTGGCATTTTGTCTGATAAGTCATTTTGCCAGTCCCTTTTTAAGTTAGTTTTGAAACAGAGTCTTGTGTAACCCAGGCTGACCTCAGACTCAGTGTGTATCTGAGATTAGGCTTGAACTCCTGACCCTCTCTTCCTCCACCCACCAAATGCTGCCATAACAGGCGTGTCTGTCCAGCCCAACCATGTTTGGAAAGGGTTCCTAAGGATTCATGTTCAGGAAAATGGGTTTTGATATTATTTTCACTCAGTGGCAAGTGTCAGAAGTATAGATAGTTGTTCCAGGTTTTATGCTTGGCACACTACATCATCAGGTGGACAGTAAACACCCTAACCCACCAACAGTGACAGCCCCCTGACAGTCTCTCTACCCCTAGTTTGGTCACCCTCAGTTCACATGGACTTGAGGCTCTTACTCTTTTCCTTTCCTGCATCCTGTGAGGGAAAGTGGTGCCTGACCCTCCCTTTTGATGTCTTTTCCGAATCTGGGTAGAAATGTCTGTGTGGTTACTGTTATGGTTACTTCCCTGTTTCTGTCTTTTGATTGTTTTGTTGTGGTTAGAGCTGAAAATGTTTACCTGAAGAGTTAATATCCTAAGTTTTACATTAAGACATATTTTTGTTTTTTTTAAGATTCATTTTAAATTATGCATGTCTGTGTAGGAGGCGGTACACATTAGTGAAGGTGCCCATGGAGGCCAAAAGAGGGTGTGAAATCCCCAGGAACTGGAGTTACAGGCAGTTGTGAGTTGCCCATGGTGGGTGGGTGCTGGGAATAAAGCCTGGGTCCAGCTATCCTGGAACTCACAGAATTCTGCCTGCTTCTGCTTCCTGAATTGGGATTAAATGTGTATTCCACCACACCTAGTTGTTTATTTTCTTCATTATGTGTACGGGGGGGGGGGCATTGTACACAAGTGTGGAGGGTACCTAAGGAGGCCAGAAAAGGGTATCAGATTCCCCTGGAAATAGTTACAATCAAGTGTACGCCTAAAAGTGCTGGGATTCAAACTTGGGTCTTCTCCAAGAACAATATGTGCTCTTATTGCTGAGCCATCTCTCCAGCTTCTCCCTTCCCATTTTTTGAGATAGGTTCAACTTATATACCCTACATTATTAGCCTTGACCTTTTGATCTTTCTTCTATCTGCCAAGTGTGAGGTGTTTTGTGTGCATATGTGCTCCTGCAAGTATAAGCTAGAGGTCAATGTCAAGTGTCATTTTTCAGGAGCCATTCACCTTAGTTTTGAGACAGTAACTCTTGGACTGGGGGCTCACATGTTGGGCTGGGTTGATTAACTTCAAACCCTAAGGTTTATTTCTTCATCCTCTTGTCTTCCCAGCGATGCTATTTCAGGCACATGCCACCATGCCCAGCTTTTCACATGCATTCTGGGGAGTGAATGCAGGTCCTCATGCATGTGCAACAAGCTCCTTTTGTCTGAGCCTTCTCAGTCCTATTGTTTTTGACACAAAAGATTTTTTTTAATGTCTGTGCAAACATAAAAACATAGGTACAATAGAATGCTGATGGCTTATTCCTGTTATAAGATCTGACAGCTGTGTACAGAGCATCACTAGTTCAGTAGTTACCTTGAATCCACAGACACTGAAGGGAGCCTTGCTCTGTTCCTGCAGTTCTCCAGTGTTATTTGAGAGGTCCCTGAATAGAGTGCATGTGGCATGTGAAAGAAAAACCTGCTCGAGTCCTTGGCTGAGTGTCTACTTTGCATTTTCACCCCTCTGTCACTGTCAGTATCTTATTCTTCTCAACTGTGGCTCTCATTTGGTAGATTGTGGAGTGTTGGTGGCAGTGTATTGCCTTTATGGTGTTGGTGGTAGTTCTGGTTGGTGACTAAGCATGCGTGGTACATAGGTTCTATGGATGAGTGTTGCTTTGACAACTGAAGATGGGAGACTTTGACTGGGAAGGAGGCAGGTGCTTTTGGAGTTCTTGGTTTATACTAGCTGTTGGGTGAGAGCATAGTGAACACAAGACACCTGGGGTCACTGCCTGCTTCCTGTTGTGTACCTACCTCTCGCCAGCGTGACTGACTCACAGTCCCTGATCCATGCCTGCTGAGCCTTTAGGATTCAAGCCTCTTTGGACGATCTGACCTTGAATTTTAGAAGTTTGTTTTTGTTTTGTTTTATGGTACTTTTATAGGTGTGTTTTTCTGCTCCAAGAGAAGAGAAACAGAAAACCTGTTTTCCTCCAAATATGTATTTATGTATCATGTGTCCTGACATGTTATAGTCATGTTATATTGTCCTTTTCCCAGGTACTCAAAACCCTGTGTCCTTCCCAGAGTCCCACACATCAGCTTAGCTATCTACTCTGGCTGGCTGTGTTGCCCTGTGGAGCCTTGTAACAAATGAGATGAAGTGCAGAGTTCTTTGTTTGGCCCATCTTTCCATCCATTCCTCTCTCCCAAGACAGTAGAAAGGCAAACATGGGTGTCTGCACCTAGTGTGATGAGTCCTGAGCCATGAAGGATGTCTTCCAGGTGATTATGGCCTCATGGGCTTGCCTGTGGGCTGGTACTGTATTTTATTGGGTTCCGTAAGCTACCATTAGTCAGGGCTAGGGGCCCAGAAGTTTTACTGCTTTGCAGGCCTGTTAGAACATGTTTCTGGGAAAGTGCTCTGGACAGTGGGAAAGGAAAAAGAGGGCTTATTATATGCTGTGTGTAACATTTTAGTCTTTTATGGAACTGTAGGCACTTCCTGTGGACATGCTATATTCTAGGCCTGTTCCCGTGCATCTGTGCTTGCAAATCCCAATCCCTGGGCTCTGAGAGCTCCAGTGCAAGCTCAGCCCTCCTGAGTTCTGACTAAACTTCATTGTCCATTTATCTATGGTAAAGGAGGGCCCGTCATCCCCCACCTGTGGGAGCTGCTCTAGCCTTGTGTCTGTGTGTGATTCTCCTGTGGTCCTGTTGGTGTATCTGTTGTGTAAGTGATCTGGTGCTTTTTGTGTGTGTGTTTCTTTCCATTCACACAATTCACAGACACCCCTCCCCTATTTACCATATTCTTTCTGAACCGCCCCTTCCTGTTCCCCTGCTGAGTCTATCCAGAACTTCTCAGAGGTCTTAGGAAATCTATCTTTATGAAAAAGCTTCCTGTCCTGTGGCTGTCCCACTTCCCAGTTCTTTTTGAGTTTGGGTCTAAGCCGATGGAGTTACCAGGGAGAAGGGCTCCTAAAACAGGACTTAACACATAGATGAGACAAAAAGAACATTTCCCTTCTGCTATATAGGCTTTGTGACATGTATACTTAACATGTTTATTGGTTTGAAGTTTTTTTTTTTTTTTTGTATGTTTGTGTGCAGGTGGAGGGGGGTTGGGCTCTTATGTGATTATTTAGTGTCAGAATTCAGATCCAGAGCCTCAAAAGTGCTAAGCATGTGCTCTGCCATTGAGTTGTACCCCAGTTTTTATTACCTGTTTTTATTGTTGATGTTTTGGGGTTTTTGTGGAGCTTTTGTTTTGTTTTTGAAATAAGGTTTTATTATATGACCTTGGAATTCATAGAGAACTGCCTACCTTGCCTTCCAAGTGCTGGAATGAAATGCTGCCATACCAGGCTTACTGAGTATATCTTTAAAATAGTATTCTATAGTGATGGAATGGTAGTGATGGTCGTAAATGAAAGAGAACTTAAGGTCCGAGTAGTACAGGTGAGAGAATGTTGCCTTAGCTTCTGATGCTGTGATAAAGTACCCTGATAGAAGCAACTTAGGTGGGGGAGGGCTTTTTCCCCTTCTCAAAGTTCAAGATACAGTCCTGGCAGGGAAGTCAGGGTGGCAGGAGCTTGAAGCGGTTGATCACATCGAATCTGTAATCAGGGACAGAGGAATGAATGCGCATGCTGCTGTGTACACTCCAAGATCCGAGCCAGGGCACGGTGCCGACCACAGTGGGCAGGCCTTTCTCCCTCAGTTAACAGTGGCCAGAGTAATCCCCAACAGGCGTGCTCAACGGCCCATCTTCCACATGGTACTAGATTCTGCCAAATTGACAAGAAGAATTAACCATTATAAATGGATTTCTCCAGGAGAAAGGTTTTTTCTTATATTTTATTATCCTGGTCACACATCTTGAAGTACGTTCAAATGATACTTTAGAGTTGGCAAGATGTCTCAGCAGATAAAGGCACTTGCCATCAAGCCTGACAACCTGAGTTTTATTCCTGGGACCCATATGGTAGAAGAGAACTGACTCCTGCAAATTGTCCTGGTTCCAGGGATTGAACTCAGGTTATCAGGCAAATCGTCCATAAGAACACCCACACTCATACAAAAAATAATGTGAAGGGGAAAAAAAAAAAAAAAAAAAAAAAAAAAAAAAAAAAAAAAAAAAAAAACAAGATGCTTTGTTTTTGTGCAGTGATTGGTGCTGTGTTTGAACTATTACAGTCACAATATTATCATAGTAGTTGATTTTAAAACATTGAGGCCTTCGATTAAGAGGTCCTTTAAGAGGCTGTGTGGCGAAATCAAGTCTACCTTCATAGGTCATACTGAAGTGATCCTTGATCCTTGGCATCTTAGAAAATGGACTAACTTGCAAATGGATCTTTGTGTTAAGCCAGAGCTGGTGAAAATCTGCATCAGGGCCCATATCCCAGTGTACACTGGGTTTCCTTGAACATGGAACCGTTACCCAGGAGCCAAATAACTTTAAAACTGTAGACATTTCTCTTTAAAAAAAATATCTATATATATATATAATAATAATAATAATAATTATTATTATTATTATTATTATTATTGCAGTTCATTTGCTTAGTGGTGGCAGCGGGTCCACCATGCACCACTGCATCTGTGTAGAGGTCAGAGGACAGCTTGCAGAGTTCCAGGGATTGACCTCAGGCTATCAGACTTAGCAGCAGACACTGTCACCCATTGAGCCATCTCATGGTCTTGACGTTACTCTCTCTGTCTCTTTTGTTGTTGTTTGCTTTTGGAGACAGGGTTTCTCAACATTTCTACTTTTTAAAGTGAGGAGGACATTATTAATTAGCCATTAAATTTGAGAAATGAAGCCACTTTCATTTATAAAATATAAGGCCCTGAAGTTACATAAGCATCTTAACCACCCATCCTCAGTGTGAATAATTTCCAGGTTTTTTTCCATGTAATTTTTTAGTGTTAAGTAATTTTCTAGTGTTAAAATGTACAATTTAAAATATTGTACATTTCCTTATTTGGAGGCATTGGGAGCACACATGTGCCTCAGTACATACATGGAGGTCAGGAGTCAGCGCTCTCCTTTGACCACATAGGTTATGGTAATTGAATTCAGGTTGTCAGACATGGTAACAAGCATATTCACTTGCTAAGCCACCTTGCTAGCCTTGAAATGTCCTATTTCTTAAATTGGGACAGTAAAACCAAGCTGTTCCTTTTAATTAAATCTTGTAACTCATTTTTATGTGTACATGCATGTGGGTGCTCACACACACACACAGACTGATTACATGATTTTTTCCTCAGCCACCAACAGCCAAGATGCATGCCATCATTGAGCGTACAGCCAACTTCGTGTGTAAGCAGGGAGCACAGTTTGAGATCATGCTGAAGGCCAAGCAAGCACGGAACTCGCAGTTCGACTTCCTTCGATTTGATCACTACCTCAACCCCTACTACAAATTCATCCAGAAAGCCATGAAGGAAGGACGGTACACGGTGCTGGCAGAGAACAAGAACGAGGAGAAGAAAAGTACGTGGGACTGCCTCAGGGTAGGAAGGGTGGTCTGGAAGTGTGAAGGTACCCATTCTCAGAGGAAAGTGACTGAAATCCAGACTTGAATTTTTGTGGTCTGCTGATTAGCCCTGCTGGTGCACCATTCTCAATCCTTAGATCATACTTTACGGTTAAATATTGATGTGAGCCAAGCAGTCATCTAGGCTGGAAATGTTTCCTGTCATTTTGGCTACGTAACAGTTTGAAGAGGAGAGTTTCACTGTCAGATTATTCTGCAGGCGCACACACTTGTGCCACAGTGCATAGGGTAGGAAGTTAAATCACACATGTTCACACAGATGCTTCCATTGACTTGGATTACCTATCTGAAGCTGTTTTGCAAGTGTCTCCATTTCAGATTCTTAGAAAGCCAGTTGTCTCCCTTTTGACTGACTCCCAGGGGTAAGCCTCCCTAGCCAGGTCTTCCATTGCACCTTGTTCCTGTCCCTCAGCCTTGCACACACCAGGCAAGCACCCTGCAATAGAGCTGTACCTCCAACCCAGTCCAGCTGTGTAAATTTTAACGTTTACAGTTGTGTAAATACAACTGTACATGTATTCCGTATTTGTGGTAATACTAGGTTTTCATTTCTTTTCGGTTGTTACTGTTTTACTTTCATGAATCAAGGGTTTTGCCCCTTTTGAAAATAAAAATTTTCATTAAAGCATGCCAGTAAACACCAAAGGAAGGCTGAGAGGTAGAAGAAGGGCACACTCCCTTCTGTCTGGCTTTTTTCTGAACAACTTGTATAACTAGGAACATTACCCCATGGGCTTTGTATACAAGTACCTAAGGGGGGGAAAGTTATGTAGGACTCTGCCCTTATCTGCTTTCAAATTTTCAACCCATTTGTATTCATTCCCCTCCCTCCTTTCTCCTCCCCTTCCCCTCCCCTTACTATATAAATACCCTCACGCGTGCCTCCTCACCTCAAACTGAGACCCACCTGTCTTTGACCTTAAAAGCATGTGCCACCACACCTAGCCTGTGTTGCTCTTCTTTAATGTTTACTTGTTTATATTGTATAAATGGCCCATTCATGCCCATTCATGCCATTGTGTACATGTGGGGGTCAGAGGATGGCCTGCAGGAGTGAGTTCTCTGCTTTTACCATGTGGATTCTGGGGATCAAACTCAGTGGCTCCCAAAGTTAGTCAGTTGTCTGTCTTTTTAACTTAAGATTTATCTGGTTTTTTGCTTGAGATTTTTTTATGGCTGAGTGGTGGTGGTACATACCTTTAATCCCAACACTTGGGCAGCAGGGGCCAGCCTGGTCTACAGAGCAAGTTTCTGGGCAGCCAGAGCTACACAGAGAAACTGTTTCAAAAACCCAATATATATATACATATATATATATATATATAATGTATGTATGTATGTATTGTATGTGTGTATATGTATGTGATTGTCCTTTAAAGTCTATGCTACATCTGTTTAGGTACCTGTGGAAGCCAAGGTTTTGAGTCCCCTGCAGCTAGAGGTACAGGCAGTTATGAGTTGCCTACTATAGGTCCTCTGGAAGAACAACAAATACTCTAACCTGCTGAGTCATTATGTAGCTCCATATTTATTTTGGTCTTTGAGACTATGTCTCCTGTAGCCCAGGCTAGCTCTGAACTCTTGATTCTTTTGTTCCCACTTGCCAAATGCTGGGATTAACTCCAAGTATCTGCCACCACGCAGAATCCCTCTAAGTATGACCCTGATGAGCATATTTATAGAATAGTGATAATTTAGTCATGCTAACAGTTAAACCCAAACAAAAAAATGGTGGGGGCTAGAGTCTCAGTCTGGCTTGAGACTTGCAGCTATTCTCTTGCCTCTGCCTCTCAAGTGCTGAGATTACAAGTATGTAATCAAACCTGATAGCTGACATCTTTAATTCAATTCCAGAGTCGGGGACGACCTCTGACAATGAAGATGAAGATGAGGAGGAGGATGGGAGTTACCTACACCCGTCTCTCTTTGCTTCCAAGAAGAGCAGCCGCTTGGAAGAGCTGATGAAGGTCTCTATCTCCTCACTAGGCTGTGTGTTCACACTGTCACAAAATTGTTCCTCATTTACGTTTGGAAACACAAAGTATGCCATTTCCTGTGGTATAGCTGTGTCTTTTTTATCACTGAGCTGTCTTCATTTGTCTGTTCCATGTGGTGACAAAGCATTTGTTTTCCTACATGCCTATATTATGGGTCACACAAGCAAACAATTGCTGTTTTGTTATATAAATAGTGTCGGTGAAGACTTGGAAGCTAATTTGTTTTGTAGATTGGAATTTAAGATTGGATTTTTCTGGGTTTTTAATGTAGTGGAGCCTCGATTCCCTTCATAGACAGTTAGTAAATGCATGCTTTTACCTCCGGCTCTCCTCTCATCTTTGAGATCATCAGTGAGTGCATTTGCACTCTCCCCCTGCCATTTGTAATGTAGAAGACAGTCTATGAGGTTGAAGCATGGTTCTGCACGGTCACAGAATAGTATTGATGTCTGGGAAGAATGGCTCTTGGCTAATGGGAGGGTAAGAGCTGTTGATGAGAAATCTAGCCCCACTGAGGAAGGCTAGAGTTTGAAGTTCTATGTGAGTTTGTCCTCCACACTGGTTAGTAGCTGTCTGGTCTCAGTGCTTCCTCCACACTTTGCTTAGAAGTTGTTGAGGTGATAACTTCTAGCTCCTTACTTCCTCCAGTCCTCACATTCAGCTAGAGCACTTGGCCCCACTGGACAGGACTTCTTTGTGTATCCCCAGCTTAAAGAATAGTGGTTCTTGCCAAGAAGATTGTGTTTGGGAGTGTGTGCTTTTACAGGTGGTGGCATGGTTAGAGGAGTAATGGAGGATGGTGGTTTTCAGAGGCTCAAGGAAGGGAGTTACCAGAGCTGAACTGGAGCCAGCAGGCTAGCATTGAGCTAGCAGCCTCAGGGCAAATGTGCTTGTGGGAATGCTCTTGTGCCCAGGTGGGGTTCTTCACTGGACACATGTATGTGCTTCTGCTGCCATGGCCTCCCAGCTTTTCTTTTTTTGTTGCTCTGAGTATGACATAAGTGACTGCCTCTGCAGTGGCAGCTTTCACTATGTCTGAGTGTGAGGTGTTTGTAAGGTGTGCCCATAGTACTGTGAGTTTGAGTCTTTTTCTCAGTAGGAAATTTTACACAGCTCAGAACTTAGAAGATGCTAAGGCCACTTGTCTTCTCTGTCTTTAGCCTTTGAAGGTGGTGGACCCGGATCACCCTCTAGCAGCCCTTGTCCGTAAAGCACAGGCTGACAGCTCAGCTCCAGCCCCTCCCACTGCAGATGGCACACCCACACAGCCCTCCCAGGTGGAGTACACGACAGACTGTGAGTACCCAGATCATCCTGTTGTATATCCAGCTTGCAACCACTGCCACCCTGTTCCCCATGCTCTCCCTCAGTCCTGTGGAGCTTTCATTCTAAACCTCCCCTCTGGTCCAGGAGGGAGTTACCTGGAGGGCATGTTTGCCTAGCCTGTGGCTTTGCATTCCTGAAAAAGAAGGTCAGACAAGGGCAGAAAAGTAAGCACCAGCCAACCGTGCTTCCCAAAGCCAGACTGACACCTCTAGCTCATGATTGGCTAGAGCTTTGGAGGATGCTGGCAGGTGGCACCTATAGTTCAAAACTTTGTTGTGCTAAACAGAGCACAGACCCTTAAGAATGACTAGAGCAGAGATTGGTTAGACAGCACAGCCTTGTCTGTGCTGCAGAGTTGTTTGGTGCTGTGAGAATGCCCTGGTATTGGCACAGGATTAGGCAGAAACAGTTTTGTTGACAACAGCAAGTAGGGGTGAGAAGATGTGAGGTTGTCTGTCATTATGGCTTTGCATATACAGTCCCTCAGTTTCTATAGGGGTTAGTTTTAGGGATACCACTTGCCCTCCAGCAGATAGGAAAACCTATGGTTTCTCTCACAGACTCTAGACTCCTTCCTGCAGAACTTGTTCTACACTGTGAATACTGTGTGAATAGTTGTTATGCTGTGTTGTTCAAGGGGTCATGATAAGGAAAAATTAGTGCCTGTTCGATACAAATGCATCTTGTCCTCTTTTATTTTGAATCAGAGCTACTTGAATAGTGGGTGTGGGGCCTAAGAATATAGGGAGCTGGATGTAATGTGCAGGGGATTTTGTCTCTTTGGAATGTTATGATTGCTGCTCTCTTACCTTTCTGAGCATTGAAGGTGAGCATTCTGGAGAGGGATCACAGTCTGTCCTAGGTTCAATGTATCAGGTCTCATTGCTGTTCTGAGGCTAAGCATTGTGTGAGAATCATGTGAAAGAAGAACCCTAGCAAAGAAGAAACAGCCTGTGCGGTAGCTGGCCTGCTGCACATTGCGTTCCTCACATGAAGGGAGATACCTATGGGGTGGTCTTGCACCAGGGAGGGAGCTGCCGTTTATGGAGGATGAACAGTCTTTATATATGCTAGCTCCTCTGCACTTCTGTCTCCACACTGGTCCACACAGATGTAGCATTTTGATGTGATAAAATGACAAGACTGAAAATCAGTTGCTTGCTGGGCATGGTGGCACAGGCCTTTAAATCTCAGCATTTGGGAGGCAGAGGCAAGTAGATGTCTGAGTTCAAGGGGAGCCTGGGCTACTACAGTGAGACCTTATCTTTAAAAAAAAAAAAAAAGCCCTCCCTGAGTGAATTCTGTGAGCATTTCCCTAAGAATTCTGGGCTGGAGCATAGATCATTTCTTTCAATGATCAAATGGGTAGTGTTACAAGGCTGCATGTTACGTGTCCTGCTGTTACACCCAGTACAACCAGCCAGCCCTGCAGCATTCTGAAGATTGCTGCTGGCTCATGTGCGCAGTTGGGAAGAGATCCATGTGCATAGTCTGCCTGTTTTTCATGCCCTGTGTAGCTCCAGAGAAAGCGCATGAATTACTTAATCTGTGGCAATTGGAGGCTCTGCCAAGCAGTCTGTTTGCACTCTAGTGGAGAATGGATACTGGCACCCACTCCCACCTCATGCATGCCTGTTCCCTGCTTTTCTGTTTTTTTAAGTGTACATGTATTCATGTGTACATCCACGTTCACGTATGTGTATCCTTGTTCACAAGTGCATGTGGAGTATCACAAGTGCATACTGAGTATCTTTAGTTAATCTCTGCCTAATTTTTTGTATGCATAGACCTAAGGAAAGGGAGAGGTATGGGGGCGGGGTTGTGTGTGGGTGTGTGTTTAGGGCTTTTGGATATTGGGTTCCTTCCTAGATTGGATTACTCTACTGTTTACTTTTTTTGAGATAGGGTTGCTCACTGATTTAACTAGACTGGCTGGCCAGCAAGCCCCAGGGATCCTTCTGTATTTATGTCCCAGGTACAAGTCACAACTCCCAGCTTTACAGGGATACTGGGAATCCAAAGTCAAAAAGTGCAGTGTGTAAAGTGGGCAGCAAGCACTTTACTCACGGAGCCCTCCATCTTGCCCAACCCCTGCATTCCTGTTCCAAGACTGTCCTGAGTGTGCTTTGTAGTTCTTCTCCTGCCTGGAGGGCTATTTCCCACCAGTCCATGAAGTCAGGAGGGAAAGGAGACAAGGTACAGAGCTTGGAAGGCCAACAAGCACATACGGAGATCAGACACTCTGAGAACCATTTCAGGGAGCTAGTTCAACTTTAATTCCCTTGGGGAGTAGGTGGGGACTTCAAGGATAGCTGTACATAATTGGTTAAAACTAGGCACTTGAAGGATGCTTGATTTGCATTAAACAGCATGATCCTATCATGAACTGGAACGCAGTATCTAACTATCCTATAGGGGCAGGGAGGGGAGAGCTAGCAGGATGCTGTGTCAAAGGCAATATATCAAATGTGGTTAGGGGCATCTATGTCTAGAGACACTCCTAGGTGAAGTTAGGGAGAGAGCAGGAGGCCCTGCTGGTGAGAGTGAGTCCTTTACCTTAACGCGGAGCTCAGAATGGCCATCCAGACTGGGAGGGCTGCAACCTTGAACAGCAGGGTCCTTCCAAAATGCTTAAATAAAATGCATTGTCTATTCATGTTTCTTTATCCCTTTAGAGCCATAGAAGGGAGCAGTAGAGAAACTAACTGTCATTAAAGGCTGAACAGTTACACACAGAGGTCAGTTGTGGTATATTGTGCCTAGATGCTGTGGGCCAGGCAGGATGGTGGAACAAGCTGATTGATCATAGCTGCTTTGTGACTCATTATCCCCAGTCTAGTGGGAACAGTGGCCTGAGGCAAACTTTGACAGCATAGGATGTCAAAGGATCAGACAGATTCAAGACAGGGCCCCAGGACCGCACAGTTCTTCCTGTGGCTCTGGGGGAGTCTCAGGCTTATTAAGTTCTATTTGAGACCTAGTCCTACTCAACACTGCCCTCAACAAAAAAGGGCATCAGGCCTTGATGAAATGTCCTGGACATAAGGAAGCGTAGATTATTTAGATGCCTGGAGTTTGTAAGAACAAACAGATATACATGGGGTTGGTAGGTTTCAGATATGTTCCTATTATCAGCTACAAGGACCACAGTCCTCAGAGCCTACCAACACAACTCTCTGCCCAAGATCAAGAAAATCATGGGGTACGACAGGTGGACTCCCTGTGGCTTTACAGCAGAGCCAGGCCAGTGGCTAGAGCTTAGGATCTGAGTCTCAATGAAACTGCTCAAAAACCATCAGAAAAGTCCCAGCATCCTTGGCTGTGGGTCTGCTGCAGACAGGAACAGCCTTGGTCTCTCCAGGGCGCCAGCTCTGCAAGGTACCTACCTGGAAATCTTGCCTCCCTCTGTACTTTCTTTGTGGGTGTCTGCTTTAGCTTGTTGCTCCTGTCTTACAGCTCTGTACACTTACTTGAGTCCAAATCTCTGTCAAGCGCTTTGTTACCTCCTGCTGTAAAATGGCCAAAATCTGAAATTTTTGGAGTTTCTCTGGCCCATTGCTGGTCATTCGAAGCAGCCCTGGCTCTGCTCAGTTAGGTGACACTTGGTTTGCAGCCATCCATTAGTACAGCACCTAAATGTAGTCAAACAGAGGGACTGTGACTTAGACCAGTCACAGCTGATGGTTTAAGTTCTTTTGCAGTAAATTCATCCACATGTAGTGATTAGATTGCTTAAGTGTTAACAGAGGAAACTGCACGGCCCCTGTGCAGCAGGTCACCGGCCTTTTTCCTGCTGTCCTTTTCTTATTTTCAGCATAGTTTGCTTCTTTTTATTATTGCTGTATGTGTAAGATGGAGTGATGCCCATGTCATGTGGAGTCACTTCTCTTTATGTGGGTTCTGAGGATAGAACTCAGGTTGTCAAGCTTTATAGCAAGCACTTTCCCCCTGAGCCTCCACCGCCCTTAAATTATTCTGCATCTTTCTAGTGTATTCTACTGTTAAACTTCCAAAGGTTCGTTAATTAATTGTAATGTTCAGAATGTTGCTTACAGACAGTGGCCTATGACTTAGCCTGGTTTGTATGAGGGTTTGTATCTCCTGAATCTTCAGGAGAGTCTTGGGAATTCCTTCTTTCCCATAGTTGCAGAGAGGGGTGGAATGACACTTGGAGAGATGCTCATGCATATGTATGACTGACCGCCATCGTTCATTAACTTTGTCCCTGTCCTCGGACACTTCCTCGGCAAGTGTCCACCAAGCCTTACCACTTAGCTGACAGGACTGGAGCAGGAAGTGCCTGGGACTGTGGGGCCTTGGGCAACAATGTCAGGACTCAGTGCAGAGTGTGCCTGGATTCCATTGCACTTGCACTTCAAAGAATAGGTGATAGCTTGGCGATAAATTACTGTTTGCCTGTGGCTTAGTGAGACTATGCCCTTGGTTCTTGTAATGAGAAGAATGAACATGTCTGGCTGATGGAGAGGCTAATGCAGAGGAGTGTTACTATAAAAGAGGTGCAAGACTACTGTGGGCGGAGGGGCAGAGGGGGCGATGATGGCTATCCACGCCAATATGTGCCCTCTTTACCAAGCTAGCACTCTTTGTGTTCACTGTACTGGTGTGTTAAACAGCCATGTGTCTGTACATGTGGATGCCCTGTGGATAAAGGTCATGCCTGACATGCTTGTGTACTCTCTTGCCTTACTCTAGGAATGCACAAGGCTCTCAGAATGGTTACTAGTGAGTAACTTTTAAAATGTTAAGAAGAGGGATGGAGAGATGGGTCAGTGGTTAAGAGTACATATTGCTCTTGCAGAGGACCTGAATTTAGTTCCCAGCACCCATGTTAGGAGGCTTACAGTGACTTATAATTCTAACTCCAAGGGATCTGGCACTCTCTTCTGACCTCTTGCTGTCACAAACACATATAGAAACATACACACAAATAAAAGCAAATCTTAAATGAC